TTACTTTATACAGCAAAGCCATCATTTAGAATAGAAGAGCAGATAAAGTGCTTCACAGATAAGGTCATTAAAGGAGTTCATATCACCAAGCCCTTATCCTATAAAATGTTAAAGGGACTTACCTTGGAAAAAGAATAAGGCCAGAACTATGAACAGTAAAATGACAATAAACTCACAACTATTAACATCTGAATCTAAAACAAAAAGAAACTAAGCAAACAACCAGAACTGGAACAGAATTACAGAAATGAAGATCACATATCAGCAGGAATGGGGAGGGAGGAGAATTTGGGGAAAAGGTACAGGGAATAAGAAGTATAAGTGGCAGGTATGAAATAGACAGGGGTAGGTTAAGAATAGTATATAGGAAATGTAGAAGCCAAAGAACTTATATGTACAACCCATGGACATGAACTAAGGCAAGAAGAATGCTGGTGAGAGGAGGGTGGAGGGAAATAAAGAGGAGAAAAAAATGGGACAACTGTAATAGTATAATCAATAAAACATACTTAAATAAGTAAATAAATAAATAAGTAAATAAAGTGTTTCAAAATAAAAAAAATTCCAACCATGTTTGTGAACTTATGTTACCCCTTCAAATTTTGACAACTTTCACATATTTGAGAGTATTTAATGAGTGATGATAAGCTGAGAACTTTTAACCTTCTTGGTAAACTATCAAACCAGCGGGCATATTAAAATCAAGAGTTACAATTATAACCAGTAGGTTCTGTTAAAAGTGCATGAGAAATAGAGGTGGGAGGAATCAGATGACCTGACCCAAGTGCCTTTATTTGATGCTGTGTTTATAGGCAGGCTGAATCTGAACCAACTGCAGCCTTGGGGGAGGCAAGAATGGGTTTTTTAAGAAAAAAAGCAAGGGATTTGTGAGGGGATAGGGGAGGGGTTAGTGTCTTGTTCTTATAAGTAGGTGCCTCAGGGTTTCAGGATGTGATTTGGGACAATGGGTTTGGTAAAGCCCAGGGCTGTTCCCAGGTACAGGAAGGTCAGCTTGACCACCAGCCATTATGGCTGGCATCAGATGTCTATTGTGGGAGGTGAGAGAGAGTTTTGATTAAGCCTTGGGCCATCAATTGAGTTGGGATAAGTCAGTCATGGGCAGTTCCAGAGGGTCGCAAAACTGGCCTGACTGGGCCATGGGCAGTCTGGTGGGCTGGGAGCTGGCCTGACCCTTTCAGGTTCTTCCTTTCATCACCGACTTTTCCACTTTTTAAAGCTATACTTGAATAATATGACTTCAATCCATGATATTTTAAATTAGAATGTAGTCCAAGCTCTGACCAGTGTGGTACAGTTGATTGGCATCATCCTGCAAAGTGAAGGTCACTAGCTGATTCCTGGTCAGAAAACACACCATGGGTTGTGGGTTTGGCCCCTGGTGAAAGTGCATATGAGAGGCTCAATGTTTCTTTCCCCCTCTCTCTCCCTTCCCCTCTCTCTCAAAATAAATAACATCTTTAAAAAATAAGAATCTAGTCCAAAATTCCAATTTAAGTAATAATGTGGTAGCAATTATTCACCAAAAATATTAAAGTGAAGAATGGCTATGCAGAATACAACTTTCACATGGATGCACTGCATTGATAACAATAGTAATAGCAATACATACATTCCGTACTATGACCAGGTACCCTTTTTGGTGTTTTATTTATTTATTTATTTATTTATTTATTTATTTATTTATTTATATTTTTATTTTTATTTAGTTATTTTTCAAGTACAGTTTTCTGTTTATTTCTCCCATCCCAGCCCACTCCTCCCCCACGCACCCCACCTCCCTCCCATTTCCACCCCCCTTAGTTATTGTCCCTGTGTCCTTTATACTTGTTCCTCTAAATCCCTCCCAATTTTTCCCCTTAAATTCCCTCCCCCCTCCCCTCTGGTTGCTGTCCCCATTCTCTATTTCAGTGTATTTGTTTTTATTTTGCTTGCTTGTCTGTTTTGTTGTTTAGCTTCCTGTTAAAGGCAAGATCATATGGTATTTGTTTTTCAACACCTGGCCTATTTCACTCAGCATAATGCTTTCCAGTTCCATCCATGTTGTTCCAAAGGGGAGTAGTTCCTTCTTTCTCTCTGCTGCATAGAATTCCATTGTGTATATGTACCATAATTTTTTGATCCATTCATTTACTGACAGGCACCTAGGTTGCTTCCAACTCTTGGCTATTGTAAATTGTGCTGCTATGAACATTGGGGTGCATAGGTTCTTTGAAATTGATGTTTTGGGGTTCTTAGGATAGAATCCTAGCAGTGGAATTGCTGGATCAAAAGGCAGGTCGATTTTTATTTTCCTGAGAAAATTCCATACTGTTTTCCATAATGGTTGTACCAGTCTGCAATCCCACCAACAGTGAACTAAGGTCCCCTTTTCCCTACAACCTCTCCAACATTTGTTGTTTGTTGCTTTGTTTATTATAGCCATCCTGACTGATGTAAAGTGGTATCTCATTGTGGTTTTAATTTGCATCTCTCTGATAGCTAGTGATATTGAGCATTTCTTCACGTGTCTCTGGATCTTCTGTACGTCCTCCTTGGGGAATTGCAAGTCCTTTTCCCATTTGTGCAAGTCCTTTTTCTTTTCCCAATTTCCCAATTGGGTTGGGTGTCTTCTTAGAGTGGAGTCGTGTAAGTTCTTTGTATATTTTGGAGATTAAACCTTTGTCTGAGGTATCATTGGCAACTATGTTTTCCCATACAGTTGGTTGTCTTGTGAATTTAATATGGTTTTCTTTAGCCACACAGAAACTTTTTATTTTGATGATATCCCATTTGTTTATTCTTTCCTTTATATTTCTTGCTCTAGGGGACATATCAGTAAAAATGTTGCTGTGTGAAATATCTGATATTTTCCTGCCAATGTTCTCCTCTAGGGCTTTAATGGTTTCAAGGCTTATATTTAAGTCTTTTATCCACCTTGAATTTATTTTGGTGTATGGTGTAAGTTGGTGCTCAAGTTTCATTTTTTTGCACGTAGCTGTCCAGTTCTCTGAACATCGTTTGTTGAAGAGGCTATCTTTACTCCATTTTATGTTACTGCCCCCTTTGTTGAATATTAATTGACTGTAGAGAGTTGGGTTTATTTGTGGGCTCTCTGTTCTGTTCCATTGGTCTATGTGCCTGTTTTTATGCTAGTACCAGGCTGTTTTGATTACAGTGGCCTTGTAATACAATTTGATATCAGGTATTGTGATTCCTCCTACTCAGTTCTTCTTTCTCAAAATAGCAGCTGCTATTTGGAGTCGTTTATGGTTCCATATAAATTTTTGAAGTGTTTGTTCTATGTCTGTGAAATATGCTATTGGTGTTTTAATTATTTAATTTTTACAATAACCCTGTAGGTAGATGACTAGCCTCTTTGCTGTCATGGGTGAGGACACCGAAGCAGTGATGCTAAATGACAACCTATAAATGACGTGTGAAGGACACAGGGACGAGAACTAAGGGGGGGTGGATATGGGAGGGAGGTGGGGAGCAAGGGGCGGGGGAGGCTGGGATGGGAGAAATAGACAAAAAAACTGTACTTGAAAAATAACTAAATAAAATTAATTTTAAAAAATGATGTGTGAAAGACAATACCTTACACATTATTAGTGGATGAGTTAAATGTTTCCCTTAGATACAAAGTTTTTATCTGCTTGTAAATAGAATTTTATGAAATCATACTGTTAATTTTCAGCATTTATTAAAGAATGGATATCTGAAGTTCCTCACTGTCTCTGTGGGAGGCAGAATATAACACTACTCTCCAAAAGAAAAAAAGAGGTTCACAACCTAATCTTTGAAGTAGGTGAACGTTAATTCACATGGCAAAAAGCCTTTGTTGAAGTGATTTAGGGTACAGACCTTTAAGTGGGAAAATTAGCCTAGATTACCCAGGTGGACCCAATCTTATCATATGAACTGTTAAAATCAAAGAATCTTTCCCAGCTGCAGAGGGTGATGTGACTACACTAGGGTCAGAAAGAGGCAACACCAGTGGCTTTTCAGTCAGAGGAAGGGAGCCCTAGATTATTGTAGAAGCTGCAAAAAGGGATTCTCCTTAGTCTACAGAAAACAATGTAGCTCAGCTGACACCTTGATTTTAGCCTAGTGAGACCCGTATAGGACTTCTGACTTACAGAACTCTAAGATAATAAATCTGTGTTGTCTATAATACTTTTGTGCTGTGTAAGCCACTAAATTTGTGGTGACTTGTTATGACAGCGAGAGGAAACAAATACAGGCCTATTCAGGTTAGCCTAATTTAATAAAGTATTGTACCATATACAAAAACATTTTCACAAGTGAAGGAGCTATTTCTGTATTAATTTACGAAGTCTGGAACAATGTTAGATATGTTATTCATTTAACTCATGAGCCTTGTACTGCCCTAAATATGCTGACAAAATGACTAGATGTAATGTGTTATACAAAACAGATAACTTTACACACACAAAAACACATTTTCACAGCATTTTTACCTTCGCCTTCTATTTATGGCACATGTTGCTGGTTTTAAACTTCCATTAGATATTTATGACTTACTATATCTTAGTGCGTAACTCAATAAAAATGCGCCAAGTTCTCTCGGCCTCCCGTGGTTGACCCAAGGCGTGGGCGCCCCACGGAGCTGACACAGCACTCCACTCCCAGAGGGGCCTACTCTTCTCCTGACGTTCCTGGGTTCGCAGTTTGAACGAAGAACTCAAACGAAATGTAAACCAGATCACCGGGAGGACCGCCTGCTGGCCACTCTTCCCGCCCGCCCTTAAAGGACCACCACAGAACCGAGCGCACGAATTCCTTCCAGATTACTTTAGGAGACGCGCAAGATACCGCACTTCGAGAGCGAGCGAGATCCAACTTCGCGACACTTAAAACTACAGTAACTTCAGCTTTGCAGCCCTTCAAGGGGTAGAAAAGACTGTGTAGTGGTTGCTCCGCCCATGTAATTCAAATTTGGCTCTCGCGAGATCCCGACGGCAGTTCGGAAGCGTGATCTCGCGACAGTTTGGAATCCAGGTTGGAAATTGTGGTAGGCGGCAGCTGGAGGCCCAGCTTTGCGAAGGAGAATTAGGGGGTTGACAGGCACGTCGGCTGTCCTCCAGCGGCGGTGGGGCCCGAGACGACTAGGTGGGGGCCTCCCTGTCAGCCTGCACAACGCCTTCTGGCTCTGCCGCTGCTTCGGACGCTACCAATCCTTCTCCCTGGACCGCACCAGGCTGCACCTTTGATCCCTCTCTCCCCGTGGTGTCGGGAGTCTAGGGAGGGATGTACAGAGGGACAGCGGGAGGTGGTGTTGGCCGCGGTTCGCCGGCTCGCTACCTCCTCGCTGCGTCCCAGAGCCACCTGGCTTCCAGGCCCCACCCCCTGGCCAGATGGATTGCTCTGCCCCGAACTCCGGCGCGGAAACCGCCGGCAAAGGTATAAACTCTGAGCTTAACCTATCTCCTGACATCTGTCTTAACTGCGCCGGGTTGGACCAGTTTCTGCCATTTCCTTTAGGGTTGGGTTTTTACCCTGTGGCTCCTCTGCGTGACAGCTTGAGATTGTGAACCTCTCCAAATCTGGGGCCGATCTTTTGCGATTCAGTGTTGAGAACCTGGACTCTGGAGTCATACTGCCTTTGGATTTATTACTGGCCCTCTTACTTGCTGAGCAAGTTGCTGTGGTTATTAAACGAGGTGGGATATGCAAAGCACTTATGTGACCCAGAGTCTAGCCCATAGTAAGTGTTCATTAAATGTTTGATATTTTCCTCCTTTGTCCTTGTACGCCCCAGTTCCTTGTGAATGGTAGAAGTTTGTTAAGTAGATGAAAAAAAGGTTGAGATATTTAGTTCAGTTTACAACACAAGGAGCTTAATATATGATCTATTGAGTCCAGGGTGTTTATGGAGTCACGAAGAGAGGGTTTAAGAAGGATTTGATTATCTGCCACAAGTCATCTGGGATGTCTTCTTGTCCCCATAATTAATAGCTTTCGTTACAGAGCTATAACAAAAGCTTGAGTGCATGTACTGTGCCCAGCAATATGCCGATTGTTTATCTACAGGCTTTCCTTTGAGGACAATCTTGATCTCATTAAATAGATGAGGAATTCAGAGCTAACGTTCAAAGAGATGTATGTAACAAGCCAAAACTCTGAAGACCAAAAATAATAACACTTTAACGTAGGGACCACAAATGTCAATACTTATAGAAACCCAGCAAGTGAAATAAATACATGAAGCTGCTGAGTGGAAATTATAGTGACGGGGATGCTCATACCTCAGTTAAAAGGAGCAGGGGCTACTCAGTTCCAGGGAATTGTTCACTCACGCATGGTAGCTTCAAGATCAGATGGCTTGGTTCATATCCAGGCTCTGCCACCTTATACCTGTGTGGCCGTGGGCAACTTGGTTAACCTTTATCTGTTCCACCATTTGTAAAATGGAACTAATAGTATTACTTACAGGAAGTAAAGAAAGGGTTGTTGTGAGGCTTAAATGAACTACTCACCTAAAGAACATGCTAGCATACATAAAGTCTTTGAATGTTAGCTATGTGTAGATATTTGTTAATTCTACAATATTGACTTTCAAACATTGTTCTGAGTGTCCAGGTTGAAGTGGTAAACACAAATTAAGCCCTGCTCTAGGGAATTTATATTTAAGTTGGGAAAATAGACAATAGCAGGAAGTTATTATTATTTTTCTCCAAAAATGGAATAAAGCAGGGTAAAGGAAGAGAGAATGGCAGGGAGTGCTATTTTATTTTATTTTATTTATTTTTTATTTTTATTTTTTAAATGTATTTTATTGATTATGCCATTACAGTTGTTCTATTTCCCCCCTTCATTTCCCTCCACCCTGCACACCCCTCCCCCACCATTCCCCCCCTTTAGTTCATGAACACGTGTCTCAAGTTCTTTAGATTCTGTATTTCCCCTACTATTCTTGCCCTCCCCCTTATCTATTTTCTACCTACTGTCTATGCTACTTATTTTCTGTACCTTCTCCCCCCTTCTCCTCTTCCCACTCTCCTGTTGCTAACCCTCCATGTGATCTTCATTTCTATGGTTCTGCTCCTGATCTAGCTGTCCTCTTAGTTTGCTTTTGTTTTAGGTGTGGTTCTTAGTAACTGCGAGTTTGCTGTCCTTTCACTGTTCATCTTCTTTATCTTCTTTTTCTTAGATAAGTCTCTTTAATATTTCATATAATAAGGGCCTGGTGATGATGAACTCCTTGAACTTGACCTTATCTGAGAAGCACTTTATCTGCCCTTCTGTTCTAAATGAAAGCTTTGCTGGATAGAGCAATCTTGGTTGTAGTTTTTTGGATTTCATGACTTGGAATACTTCTTTCCAGCCCCTTTCTTGCCTGTAAGGTCTCTTTTGAGAAATCAGCTGACAGTCTGATGGGAACTCCTTTGTAGGTGATTGTCCCCTTATCTCTTGCTGCTTCTAGGATTCTCTCCTTCATTTTAATCTTGGCTAATGTAATGATGATGTGCCTTGGTGTGTTCCTTCTTGGGTCCAACTTCTTTGGGACTCTCTGAGCTTCCTAGATTTCCTGGAAGTCTATTTTCTTTGCCAGAATGGGGAAGTTCTCTTTTATTATTTGTTCAAATAAGATTTCCACTTACTGTTCCTCTTCCCCTTCCAGTATCCTTGTAATTCAGATGTTGGAGCATTTAAAGATGTCCTGGAGGTCCCTTAGCCTCTCCTCATTTTTTTGAATTCTTGTTTCTTCATATTTTTCTGTTTGGTCATTTTTTTCTTCCTTCTGGTCAGCTCCCTTGATATGAGTCCCAGTTTCCTTTCCATTACTATTGGTTTCCTGTGCCTTTCCCTTCATTTCAATTAGTTTATCCTTCATATGTTCCTCTAATTTGTGACTAAAATCAACCAGTTCTGTGAGCATCCTGATCATCAGTGTTTTGAACTGTGCATCTGAAAGTTTGGCTATTTCTTGGTTGCTCAGAGTTATTGGCTATGGGCTTCGAGTTCTTCTTGAGCCATGTTTTTGTCTGTTTGCACCAGTTTTGTATGAGGAGCAGAGCCTAAGGTGTTCACCAGGGCGGGGCCACCCAGGTTGCTGGGTTGTGATGCTGTATGTGAGGGCGGGGTCAGAGAGGGACAATAGTGGTCCCCTCTGCCACTTCCCACTGCTGGGGCCTATGTGGTCTGTCTCACTGCTCGCTCCTTCGCTGCTTTATCTGTGTGCAAATGTGTGACCGTGGTCTGCCTGCAGCCTTGCATCCTCACTGGGTCGCCAGCTGCTACTCCACACCTGGGATCCGCCCATGGCTGCCTGCACTCCTGGGTCCCAGGCCTGGGTCGGTTCATGGATCTTTCCTGCCCGACCCCGCTCCGCTGCTGGCTTCACCCCTCTTACTGGTCTGGCTGAAAGGTTCATTGTTGTCAGACTTCCGTATATTTCAATTTTCTGTGGTTTGACCGTGTTTTTGTTGCTAAAACTTTGTTGTTTTTAAACTTGGTTGTGTGAGAAGGCACAATGTTTCCACCTACGCCTCCATCTTGGTGGAAGTCCTGGGAGTGCTATTTTAGATTGGGTGATCAGAAGTGACACTCTAAGGGGATGCCATGTAAGCAGAGACCTGAATGAAGTGAAAGAATCAGTCACTTTGGTATTTAGGGGGAGTGCTGTAGGAAGGAGCCGAAAGCTCAGGGGGCCCTGAGGTGGGAGCATGCTTGCCATGGTGAGGAATAGCAAGGAGGCCAGTTTGGAATGCAAGAGTGAGAAAAGGTAGGATATGAGTTAAAGAGGAAAACCAGGACCGCATCACAAGGAGCCTTACACTCACCCCAACCCCATGTTCCATTCAATCCAGTATAGAATCCTCCCAATTTAACCTAGTTATTCTGCAGTTTGAATCTTGAGAGTTTCCAACTCAAACTTACTTAGTTCTAGAAATTAGCCATAATCAGGAACCAAATAGATTTCCATATTTTTTTGTGTGAAGCCCATAGGCTTCTGCCCATCCTGTACCCTCTGACTGACAAAGTTTTGTTAGACTTTCTTCCTTTTTCCACTTTTTCCTCAATACAAAGATTTAATTTATTTATCATTAGAGAGGAAGGAAAGGAGAAAGGGAGAGAAATATCAATGTATGGTTGCTTCTCATGAGTCCCCTGCTGGGAACTGGCCTTCAACCCAGGCATGTGCCCTGACTGGGAATCGAACCACGATTCTTTGGTTTCCAAGCCTGCGCTCAATCCACTGAGCTACACCAGCCAGGGCCCTCAGTACTCTTTCTTACAGCACACTGTTCTCTTCTTCCAAAGCACTTATTATAATTTAATGTTTGTAAATTTTTTAGTGTCTCCCTCAGTAAATATCAAGGATCTATGAAATCAAGGATGTGTTTATGTTAATAAATTCAGCACATGTTTATTGAATGCCTACTGTGTGCTGGTCGTTGGGATAAAATTTTGAACACAGACATTTTTTTAAAAGAAGTTATTTTCTAGTGGGAAAGACATAAACAAGTAAACATGATAAATATTGTGATATGTGCTATGGAGGCAATAAAATAATGAGCTAGGGAATAGTGAGGTACCCTACTTCAAATGAGGTGGTCAGAGACAAAATCTCCAAGGAGGTGACATAAAAACAACAAAGAAAAGACCTGCTTAGCGTGTCCGAATCAAGGAAAATATTGAAAGATTAAGTTGGAGAAGTAAGTAGGAGCAGATTATACAGGGGTTTATAGACTATATAGTAAGGAATTTGGACTTTATTCTTTGTGTAGTGGATGGTTACTTAAAGATTTTAAGTTAAAGATTTGCTAATTTGTATTTTTAAATAATCAGTATTGCTGCTATATGGAAAACAAATTGTAGGGGGAAAATAGTGGCAGCAGAGAGAATGGTGAGAAGCCTGTAGCAGTAATTTAGGAACAAGCTGAAGCCGAAGGTGGTATGCTTTAGGGCAGAAGTTAGCAAATTGTACTCATGGGCCAAATCTGGCACTCCCTTATTTTTAAGATTTTATTTATTTTTAGAGAGTGGAAAAGGGAGGCAGAAAGAGAGGGAGAGGGACAGTGATGTGCAAGAGAAACATCAGTCATCAATCACTTGCCTCTTGCCCGTCCCCAACTGGGGACCTGGCCCACAACTCATGCAATACCCTGCCTGGAAATTGAACTGGCATCCTTTCAGTTCGTAGGTTGGTGCTCAATTCACTGAGCCACACCAGTCAAGGCTGGCACTTTTTTTTTTGTAGATAAAGTTTTATTGGAATACAGCCATGCCCTTATATTTATGTATTGTCTGGTTGCTTTTGTGTTACAAGGGCAAGACTCAGGATAGCCTTCAAGACCTAACTTAACAAATAGCTAAAACCTAACTCTACAGAATAGTTTGCTGACAGTTGTTTCAGAGAGTTATTTCATGGAGGAAAGTAATACACTTTTGAAGTAGAACCAGCAAGACATTCTCATGGACTGGATGTAGGGAGTAATATAAAAAGAGGAATAAAGGCAGACTAAAGGTTCTACCTTGAAAAATTTTTACACGATGATGCCATTTAATGAAATTCAGGAAGTCTGGTTTTCAGCAAGGTTTAGTCACAATAATTTTTGACTTTGTTTTTTTCATTTTGTACCCATTGTGTGGAATAGTATCTGATTAATAATTGGTGCCAAGACATGGACTTTGAGTAATAAGGAAATTAATGGATTTTAGGTGTTTAAAAATTAGAAGGCATTTGCTGAGTAGGCAAACAATTCATGTGAAAAAAAATAATGTGTTAAGAATTGCTATAGGGGTTGATTTAGATTTTAAAGCCCAATACTATTATTTTGAAAATAGGACCTATTGATCTATGTGTTATTCACTGTACAGTGAATCAGAGTTTTAGTTTAACATTTAAACTTTGTCTTTTGGAATAGTGTAGCAGTTCTTAAATAGTTTGGATCCAAATATTAGAGTGGGGGAACAAAATTTTCTTTGTACTTCTGATTGCTTTGCAAAAATACAGTCTTACTAAAGTTAGTGGGAATAATGGTTTTACTTTTGAGGAACAACTGATGGGATATAGCATAATGAGCTGTTCTTAAGAAAGTAGTGACATACTAGTTATATTATTATATAACCATCAATGTTATAAAAACCTAACTCGAAATCATCAAGAAGACCCTAAGAAACCACACCAGTGGTTATTGGATCTCAGTGAGAAATGTATGACAAAAATGATTCCTACTGTTCTTACAGTTGTAGCCATACAGTTCCTCTGGGGCTCTTGCTATAAGAAATTCCACTTGTAAAATTATTTTTACTTAATTTCTCCATTTGGTACTTTTTAAATGCACCAAATAGTATATTCTATAGAGAGTTCCCTCGCCATTCATAGTGCTATATTTTCTGAATAGAAAATAAAATAGCTGTACAGTTAAACACAGAATAAATTCATGTATGTAGAGGTCAGACTCTTTGAAAAATAATAGAATCTTAATGGCAAGATCTTAGAATTCATCTGTGTTTTGTTTCTTTTTAAAGAATCTTAACTCTTTAAACCTAGAAGGGAAAAAAACCTTGAGAAAGCATATACACATTACTGAATTGGAGGTTAATGGTAAACATGCATACAAAGCAACAGTTTAGAAGCAGCAGTATTGACAGTGAGAAGAAACAGCTATCTCCAGAGAGATGATGGAATATAAAAAGGAAGACAGAAGAATCACAAAAGCATTGCTGTCCAGAAAATTTTAGCTTTCTCCTTACCAAGTCCTATTCACTATTACTGCAACTATCCTGAATGATATATATAATGTGAATGTCATTATAAATATTTAAATCAGTGGTTCTAAACCCTGGGCTGTGCAGCAGAATCAGGTTTTGAATTTGACAATAACCACCAACAAAAAAAAACCCCTAATGAAACCAGATGCCCATGGCCTAGATACACTGAATCAGAATCGAGAGAGGTAGTGTCCAGCCATGCATGGGGAGAGTGTGACACAACCAGGACGAGAACCACTGGAAAGAAATTGTGTGCCCCTTCTCCTGCTTTGTATAGGGGAACTTCTGATGATATGTATTAGGAAAGTATCTATACATTTGGAAAGAGGATTTATGTGAGGTATTTCTTATAAGCAGTGGATAAATGAGGTGGTACTTTGGGAACTAGATTGGGAAACTTGACTTTCTTCTTTATTATTACAGACATATGGTATCCAGGAGAAAGATGCCTTGTCCCTTCTCCAGATAATGAAAAACTTTGTGAAGCAAGCATAAAATCCATCACAGTGGATGAAAATGGGAAGTCATTTGCAGTCATCTTATATTCAGATTTTCAAGAAAGGAAAGTACCTCTTAAAAGACTTCAAGAAATAAAACCTGTTAAAGATTGTTCTAGAAATTTCATATTTGATGACGAAGATTTAGAAAAACCTTATTTCCCAGACCGAAAATTTCCGTCATCTGCTGTTGCTTTTCGGTTATCTGAAAATGGAGACTCTATTCCTTATACTATTAACAGGTATTTGAGAGACTATCAAAGGGAAGGAGCCCAGTTTCTTTATGGACACTTCATCCAAGGAAGAGGATGTATTCTTGGTGATGATATGGGACTTGGAAAGACAGTACAGGTGATTATTTTAATTACTTTATAATTAAAATTTCATAAACTCATTTTGTCATATATATGAATAGATGTCATACAGAAATTTCTATTTTTCCTCTTGAGTACTTATGCTAGCTAGTGTGTGTGTATGCGTGTGCACGCAAGTACGGGTGCATGCGCACTGTGTGTGTATGTTGCACTCACCTGACAGTAAAGTCCTCAAAGTTTAGGACAGTACCTTAGTCATTATTTTATCTTCAGTACCTACTTAGTATTTATGAAATACATTATTCACAATAATGTTTTGGTATAACATGGCTTGATTTTACCTTTGGTAATACTAGTACTAAGACATCCATTATATTTATAAAGTAGTTTAACTTTCTTAGTAATACTTTATAGAAAGAAAGTATTCTGACAATTGTTGAGCTGGATAGCATGGTTAAATTGATTCTTGCAGGCCTTTTGTGCATGTTGTGTCAGAAGTTTCCGAATCTGGGATCCCTGGGCTGCTAGCATTCTATTGGTGGAATTCAGCGAGGCCTCCTGTTTCCCTAAATGTGTGCCGGAGTTTGTACATGTATTATATACTTTTCTGCAGAGAGGATCTATGTGAGTTATCTATTGCTGTACAACAGATACTCCAAAATTTAGTATCTTAGAAATGATACACATTTATCATATTGCAGTTTCTGTGGGTCAGAAATTTAGGTACAGTTTAGCTAGATCCTCTGGCTCTGTTTGTCACAGGGCTATCATCCTTCCTCAGAGTAGGGAGCATCCACTTCCTAACTCATGTGGTTTTAGGTATGATTCAGTTCCTTGTGGGTTGTTTGATTGATGCCTCAGTTGGTTCCTTGCGCATGGGCCTCTGCTTGGAGCTTTTCACAACATGGCAGCATACCTCACCAGGAAGAGCAAATGAGGGGGCAAGAGAGAGCACTATTAACACAGAAGTCATGGTCATTTGTGACCTAATCACAGAAGAGACAACTTCTCACTTTTTCCATGTTCACTTCTTAAGGAGCAAGTTGCTAGGTTCATCCATACTCAAGGGGAGGAGATTAAACAAGGTTATGAACACCAAGAGGTGGGGATTATTGGGAACCCTATCCAAAGTTGCCTACCACAGGATCCTTTCCTTTCACTGGATTTTCAAAGAGGTTTATGGTCCAAAGAGTTTAGAGTTCTGAATCTACACTTGATACTAAATAATCACTCTGGACTTACAGGGGTATTTGTCTAGCTTGTGATTAATTGTTTCCTTTCTTATAAATGAATTTAAGAGATTTTATTCCTCATGACACCTTTATTGTTACAACTCAAAGGTAAGTGAAAAACTAATTTAACATTTAAAAGTAGCCAAATCAATGCAACTATATATGAAGCTCTGCAGTAAAAAGCTAAGGTAAAATTAAGTTACCATCAGCCATATGTTCTGTTTCTTTAAATCTAGACGGTGCACATAGTGTTAGGCTTGGACATTGAAGGTGCTAGATAATTGCTTGTGGAATAAACGAATTTGCTTTCTCAGGAGAATGTGTGGCAAGAATAAAGAAAGGAGCCTTTTAGAAACTACTGTCGATGACCAAATCATACAGATGAATTCTAGAAGAAAATAAATAATAAAGCTCTTTTGTAATTCTTTACATATACTGGTACTGTTTTTGCCCATGCTAGGAGTGTTCTTTCCCATTCTTCTTTGGTTAGCCAATGCCTGTTCATCTTCAAGGTCAGAAACATGAGGGTGCTACAGAAAGTGACCTGCAGTTTCAGAATGCCTACTCGAAAACTACTAAATGCAGTTCAGAGTCTTCTGGATGTTGAGGTTCGAATCTAGTTTTCATTTCTGAAGCCGATGTTACAGAGAAATTCCCTTTATTTCATGTTTCATAGAATTATTTTTAAAGTGATTTTACCGCATAATTTTGTATTACCTGTTGCACTGAAATCATTGGAAGGCTTTGAGTTGTGTTATGTGTTGTGAAAGTCTTTAAGGGTTCGTCTACGGAAGATTATGAAATAGTTTCTGTACTAATTTTGATGCTTAGCTGGATTTGCCTGATCCTTGGGGACCTAGTTCTCTGGTTCTTATAACTCAGAGACTAATTTCTACATAAATAAGCAGTTTGGGAGACCCATATAAGATAGAGCTTCCATAGATATAATGACCAAGCCAGTTGAAGAACTATGAACAGCAGTTAATGAGTTCACTACAATTGCAAAATGTAGTAGATTTAGGTCTGTGAAAATAGACCACTGACATTTACTGTTTAAACTATAGTATTATCTTCTTTTATTCTTCATTTTCTTTCCTTTCTGATTTCATCCCTTTAGTTTCTCCCTTCTTACCTTCTAAGTTGGCCATAATATGAAATTGAGCTCTTCTTTTTTTAAAATTATATTTTATTGATTATTCTATAACAGTTGTCCCAATATTTACCCCCTTGCCTCCCTCTATCCAGCGTCCCCACTCCCTTAGGCAATCACTACACCATTGTCCCTGGCCGTGCATCATGTGTATAAAACTCCTTTGGCTACTCCATTTCCTATACTGTACTGTACATCCCCATGACTATTCTGTAAGTACTTATTTGTACTTCTTAATCCCCTCACATCTTCACCCATTCCTCCACACCCCCTCCCATCTGGCAACCATCAGAATGCTCTCCGAATCCATGATTCTGTCTCTGTTCTTGTTTGCTTAGTTTGTTTTTTAGATTCAATTGTTGATTGGTATGTATTTATTGCGATTTTATTGTTCATAGTTTTGATCTTTTTCTCAAATAAGTCCCTTTAACATTTCATGTAATAATGGTTTGGTAATGATTAATCCCCCTAGTTTTTCCTTGCCTTGGAAGATCTTTATCTGCCCTTTGATTCTAAATATTTTTGCTGGGTAGAACAATCTTGGCTGTAGGTCCCTGCTTTTCATCACTTTGAATATTTCTTGCCAATTCTTGTAGCCTGCAAAGTTTTTTTTCTTGAGAAATCAGCTGACAGTCTTATGGGAACTCCCCTGTAGGTAACTAACTGCTTTTCTCTTGCCACTTATAAGATTCTCTCTTTATGTTTAACCTTTGACATTTTAATTATGACGTGTCCTGGAGAGGGCCTCTTTGCATCCATCTTGTTTGGGACTCTCTATGCTTCCTTGGACTTGCATGCCTATTTCTTTCACCAAATTAGGGAAGTTTTCTTTCATTATATTTTCAAGTAGATTTCCAATTTCTTGCTGTCTCTTCTCCTTCTAACACCCCTATGATGCTAATGTGGAATGTTTGAGGTTGTCCCATAGACTGCTTAACTATTTTTGTTTTTGTGGATTATATTTTCTTCTTGTTCTGATTGGTTGTTTTGGGTTTCCTTATGTTCCAAATTATTGATTCGATTGCTGGATTTATTCACTCTACTGTTGTTTCCCTGTAAATCATTTTTTATTTCAATTACTGTTTTGTTTGTTTCTGACTGGATCTTTTTTATGTTGTTAAGGTCCTCACTACTAAGTTCCTTGAGCATCCTTATAATCAGTATTTTGAACTCTGCATCTGATGGATTGCTTATCTTCATTTTGTTTAGTTTTCTTTCTGGAGTTTTGATCTCTTCTTTCATCCGGGCCATGTTTCTTTGTTTCTTCACTTTGGCAGCTTCCCTATGTTTGTTTCTATGTTTTGCTAAAGCTGCTATGACTCCCCGTCTTGTTACTGTGGCCAAATGTGGTAGGTGTCCTCTAGGGTCCAGTGGCTCAGCCTGTCCTATCACCCAAGCTGGGTACTTGAGGAATGCCCTTCGTGTGGGCTAAGTACACCCTCCTCTTGTAGTTGAGCATTGGTTGCTGTTGGCAGGTCAATGGGTGACACTTAACACAGGCCAGTCAGCTACAAGGACTGGCTGTGACCACTGACCACCAACCTCCACCCTCTGTGGTAGATTAACTGTGCAGGGGCAGGGTGGTGGTGCTCCAAAGTGGTCTGTAGCTGTCCACTGTGTACGCATGCTCTGGGCTTTCCCAGGTGGTGCAGGCTAAGATCAGCACCAGCCGAGGGCACCCTGCATGAGCTATAAAGCTGTCTGAGATGGTCACTACTTGTGCTGAGCTTGGAGATACCCAGGCAAAGTCAAGCTGTGAATCTAGGCTGGCTGCTGCTAGTGCTGGGCCTGGGGTCTTACTGAGATTAGCTGCTGCTTGCTTGATAGGATTTAGGAGGTTGTAAAGTATGAACCAATACCAGCCATTCAGATGGAAGTGTCATTGTTAACAGTTTGGGTGGGTCTGCAAGTTGTGGGAGACAGAGTTTCAGGGTATCTCCAGAACAGGGCAAACAGTGTTAGCCAGGTCGAAGTAGTCTCAGATATGGTACCTGCCTGCCAGCTCTGGGGCTCTGATGGGAGAGGACTCAGGAAAGGGACCTGGGGCCTCTGCCCGCCTTTCTGTCTGGGATAAAGCTGTCCCTATCTCCTGCTTTGATACCAGATACTTCAGTTCCTTCCTGTATGTGACTGGTGCCTCTCAAGGTATTACCCCAGTGCTGGAACTCGGAGTGAGTCTGAGTAAATTCATGTGTGGGTTCTTTAAGGGTAAGTGCTTGGGACTCCAGAAGTTTCTTCCACCCACTCAATCATTGCTGGTTTTTGCAGCCAAAAGTTATTGTGACAGGCACCGGAACCCTGGGCCTGGTGTGGGGCTGGGACTGCTCGCTCCTGAGATATCCCTCCCAAATTTTCAGCCACCACATGTAGATATGGGACCAACCCATTCTGCATCTCTGCCCCTCCTACCAGTCTGAGTGGATGTGGTTTCTTTAATTCCTTAGTTGTCAGACTTCCATTCAACTCGATTTGTGATGGTTCTAAGTGATGGTTGTAATATTTTAGTTGTAATTTTCATGTGGCTGTGCTAGAAGACAAGCTGTGTTTACTTATGCCACCATCTTGACCTGAGCTCTTCTTTAAAATAAATTTTTAAAAAACTCGCTTTACATACCAAATAAAATTTGCCTCTCTAATTTCTCATTTAAAAGTTGG